GACGCGGCCGGCCCGGCCGAAGCGGGGCACTGGGTTCGCGCTGTGTAAATCAGCTTCCCTGCGTGGCAGCTGGCTGCCGGCTCTGAACTATGCGAATGTACTTAACCTTCAGTAACCTTTCCATTGTTTACTTTAGAGTATACGCTTGTAGCTTCTGGCAAAAGGTAGGGATATCCTAGAGAGCGAGGCCAGCCTCATATTAATGGAGTTTCAAGAGGTTGCACTCTTTTTTTTTTTTTTTTCCCTTCCCCTCTTCTGAAGGGAAAAAAACTGCTGGCAAGAGGCAAGATTTTTTTTTTCCCTTCTTCTTTCCCTCTTAACTGCATATCTCAGCTCTGGTAAATCAAGGGTCTTTCCTGAAAGCGATGCTCACCAGCTCGCAGGCTCGGCAAGGGAACAGCCGCTGCGGGACTAGCTCCACGCTGCTGAGGATGGCGCGCGCCGCTGAGTGAGCTGTGGCAGAGGTTGTAGGACCTCGCTTTCTGCACTGAGGAAGATGTCGCTTTTCTTTCATTTGGGATGGGTTTTCTTGTCAGCTCTTAAGAGCATTTTCTTATAAATCTGTTGCGACCCTTGAAAGGCAAGTGTTAGATGTGTGTGTGAGATGAAGAATTAAATATGTGCACACAAGGACTTTCCTGGGCACCCGCAGGTCAGCTGTAGAGTCATGTAAGTGGAGATTATCTATGCTAAAAGGAAGAACGTTATTGTTTGTCTTCCTTTTTAGTTCATTGTTTTGTACTGAAGCTTTTGAAGCACTTCAAAAGATGCAGTTTCTGCTTCAGGATGTCTGCAATCAAATTTAAGCAGCTATCGTAATAAAAAGAAAAAAAAAAACCTGAAAGGAAGGAGGTAGAATTTCAGAGAGCAGCTTAGCAAAAGTAAAATTTAAGGTGAAACATGAAAAAAGAATATGGTACTTTCTTACAAAGAGGGTTGTTTTCATATTCTCTGATTGGAAAACATTGCTAATAGCAGTGTTGTGTAAAAATCCTAAGTATGTGTGAGGGAACATAACTGATTTGCATTTAATGTATGTGCACGCAGGAACATGTGTGCACATGTAGTAGACAAAGCCTTTGTTCAAAGTATATTGTTATTCTTGAAAAGTCAAGTGCTCAATGGTTAGGAAACGCCAAAAGTGAGATATAATCTTTGCAACCTTAATTATGTTTCCCTGTGCACGTACAGTTTGATACACTCTTTAATTACGCAGTCACATTCTAATTCTTCCATGAAACGTCTGTGTCATTCAGTGCACAGAATAGAGAGCGCTCAGTGAATGAGCAGCCATTCAGTATTTTGTGTTATCCTCACTGTTTAATACTTGGCCATTACATATGGCACATTTTTCAAGCCAGGATCAGGCAGAGAATTATTAATTTATTCCTTGTTTTTTCTCTGGCTCTCATCACAGCTGTATCTGAGGGCTGTAAAAGCATTAATCAATCTTTGCCCTGCCCGTCTGAGGGGAAAAGTAATATATGATTCCCATTCTACAGATGAGGAACTGAGCCACCAAAAAATTACATCATGAGTATCAGCTAATTCTGCATGCCAGTTGTCTGTGTTTTGCCATGTATATGATTTTAGCTGTTGCCCTACATCTTCGGCACAGCTGCAGATCAGCATGTCTAAACACACCCTCTGAGGAAAGGAACACACATATAACTAGCTCTTGTGAAAAATTTAGTTTCACTCACATGCCCAGTATTGCACAGGCATTTGGTAGAGGAGCAAGAGTGGAGTTCAGTTCTCTAGGGCAGAATTCAGCATCATCTGCCTTAATCATAGCAGCTGGATGCTATTCATGGATGCTTTAATCGTCCCTTCTCTGCAATCTTCTGCTGCATTTGCAATGCGCCTTCCAACTTCTGCAGCAAAGGAAGCAAAGATCCTGCAGACAAGTGTCCTGCCCTACCCAGCCTTGGTCATTCCCAGAGCCAGCCCAGGTATCCTAATGAAAGCACACAGTTGCATGTTGGCAAGCTGTAGAGGGTAGCACCCATTGCTGTATATGCTATAGGAGGCACAGGCCTCCGTTTCATTTTTTGTCTTTTCATTTCCAACCTACCTCCGTGCCTTTTTATCCCCAACCCCATTCTCCTTACTTAGCCAGTCTCAGTCTCCCCTCTTCAGGATTTTTACCTCTTCGTGATTTCTTTGTCCCATCTTCTCATCTATATATCCCTGATTTCCTCCATCTGCAGACATCCACTCATCTTCCCCTTCACAGCCTGTCAGTCTGTCTCTCGCCTTAAACTGCCAGTCCCACTTCCTCTGCTAGTTCTTTGTCTTCAGGTCTTTTAGCCACTTCTGTTTCTTTGCCCAGACCTTAACTCTCATGACATATGTTTTCTCGGCTTTCCTGATATTCCCTGTTATCTAGTCCATGTCTTCTCAGATCCTAGTCTGATCTCGGCAACATCCATATCTTACTTTCCAGGTTCCCAGGCCCCTTGTCAGTCTTATTCTGTTCTGCTTTTCTGTCAGTGGTCAGTGACCCTTTTTCCCTGCCTTCATTTGCCAACCTCCAGTTGTAACCTTTGAGAGCTGGTGTGGGCTGGCATCCTTGCCGGAGCTCCATATTCAAGGCTGCCCACATCAACCCAGGAGTTGAATTACAGTGAAACTCCTGCTCCCCCTAGTCTGAAATAAGTGCAGACAGGATCTTCAGACAACTAAGCAGCGAATGTATAGCAAGCTACCAATATGTGCATACAAAGAGGTATTTTTCACAAGTTTATGATTTGACGAGATCAGGATAAATGTGGAACAGCAAAGGTACTTTTTCTGCCACAGACATGTCCCTGCCATTACGATGGACTTTCCTGTCTCCGCTTCAAAAAATGAAGCGAGCATTGGTGCTATGGCTGGAAAGGGTGACCACATGCATATTTGACTTGGAAAATGCACAGAAAAATATTTGTCTTTTGGGGGAGAACAGAAGAGAACCATATATTTTTCTAAGCCATATTCTTAGAAAAAGCTGGCCAGCTATAGCTGATTTAAAAAAAAAAAAGAGAGAGAGAGAAAGACCCATCTGGATAACTTCCTTATTATTGACTGAACCTTGGCAAAAGTGTAAGTAACTGAAAATCACATCTTACAACAGAAAGAGTTAAGCTGCCTAAAAATTGGTGCCTGCTGTACCAACAGTAACCATTTGCAGTGCACACTTGTATTACTCTCAAGGTACGCGCTCTTTACATTGACACTATTTCTGAAAATATAGGTGAACTATTTGGTGACCTTGTGAGTGCATAATATAGAAGTAATTGTCTTTGTGGTTGCTTGTAGGTCATATCGCACACACATCCTCTCTTGGGCCCTTCTTGATAGCTGACGACCTAATAAACCCAGAGATGGAAACACTTTCAGGCGCTGTATTCTTTAGAAGTGTCCCTGAGCCAATGGAGGTCAAGAGCAAAGAATATTAACAAAGCAGTATCAGAGACATTGCGCTTCTCATGCTAATATTTGCCTTCCATTTTTTAGCTGTTTATAGCCAGTCGTTTAGAAGGGGGGGGCAGTGGGATCCAAAACCTTTCAACCATCACCCAGCAGAGAAGAATTTAACTTGTAGGTTTTTAGTTCTTTTTCTTTTAAAATCTTTTCTTATAGAAAAGCCAGTTTTGCTCATTGATTGCTGAATGTAGATTGTCGGGTACTAGAAAATGCTTACACAACAGTTTGTTTTTTTTAAACAAAAAAAAAAAAAGCCAAGAGCTGTGTCTTTCTGAGTCTGTTAACTCTGTGAATTATTTCTGTTGGTGCTTTTTTTTTTTTTTTTCCCCCCCCCTCCAACAATTGCATTGAAAGATTTGATCCTACAAGTTCTCCTCAGGAAGAATTGCAGCTACAAGCACCAAGCAGCCAGATATGTCCAGCCAGATCCAAACCTCATACACTGTTGTCGGTTCCCATGAATTGTCTCTAGGAATTCATACGAAAATAGTAACTTCAGTGTCTGCTTTGCAGGACTGGTCTGAATATATTTTATCATTAGCTTAAGTGATATATTCATTTAATGCCCTATATTACTGTTCAGTCTCATTGGAATAGAACATTTCACACTTCTCTACGCTCGTTGTATCAAGAATATAGCTATTTACCTGGGGTGCAGGTACTCTATTACTTTCTGAGATGTCAACATAAATGTTTCTGGAGGTGAAATAGATGCTTTGCACAATAGACGCAGTCGTGTTGTATGTGCTCTACGTTGATTCTGACTATCTTTTGTGAAGTTATTCATTGCTATTTTTACAAATTTACCAGGGGCATTTGTCATAGCCTCCTGTTCAAATTCTGCACTCAGTGATTGCTTTCTTCCTATCCAAGATTGCCTTTTGCATTTGCTAAATACAGTCTTTTGCCATGCTGTCTGAAGGATGGCACAAGGTTGCAGTATATCACTAATCATTTGCTATGTTTCACCTCAGAAACGTCTGCTTTTTAGTGGTAGCTGAAGTTATGAATTTACACTGATATTATCAGTTTAAATTTGTAAGGAAAAGCTTCTGGCTGAAATTGTCTTACAAACGCGTATGTTGTGATAGTGATTATATAAAGAAGCTGTGCCAAAGAACAGCCCTTCATTTACTCTGTTGTAAACTATAGACAATTAACTTTGTACCTCTGACCTCTGATTTAAATGATCCTTCATCTAGATGATTTCTATTCATGTTGCTTCAGGCAGCAGATTAAATTCACAGTTCTAGAAAAGATGATGGCTATTACTGCACAGCATATCCTGATCTCAGAGGATTTGGGGGGAACTTATAAAGTATTGAGATGCATGGTATAAGCAGGCTCATGGGGGAAAGAATGCGTTTCTCTCCTTAATGATTATTATTTCCACAGTAACTTGGCTGCTACCTCTTAAAATTTCCTTTTTCTTTAATCTCCCAGCTAATTCCGGTTCCTTACAAGGCCCACAGACTCCACAGTCTACTGGTAGTAATTCCATGACAGAAGTGCCAGGCGATCTGAAGCCGCCAACACCAGCATCAACACCTCATGGACAGATGACGCCTATGCAGGGTGGCAGGTATGAAAAGTGCTTTGCTTCTTTTTTGTTAGGCTGTTGTTCCATAAGAGTTTAAGCCACTCTCACCCTTTCCCAGCTGCTCAGGTGCTCATCTAATTCTGTGGTGAACCAACTGACTGGAGCCTTACAAATGGCAGAAAACAATTTGTTTTTGAAGTGAAGGGAAGGAATGGGAAGAAGGTGCAGGAGCTACAATAGCTTTCTAAATCCCAGAAAAGGATCAGAAAAGTGGCAGTGTGAACGAGGGAATGGGAATATGTGAGGAGCGAGGAGGAAGGTGAAAGCCAGCAGCACCAACTTAGAACCACAGCCTTTCTTTCTTGCGTACAGCCCTCTTCTGGTGTACAGGTCTAGTCATTCACGTTCAGGAGGGAGGAATTCAGACCGGAAAGGGTATAGAGAGAAGTTAGTGGAATGATCAGGGAACGGGGAGATAAAGGAGCCTAATCTGCAGTGAAGTCTTCTGACTATTCGCCTTAGCCTTAGGTCCTTAGCCCACTGACGTGCATGAAAAAAAGTTCCTGTTGACTTCAGTCAGAACATCACTGAATCCTAAAAAATTTACAGAAACTTTCAGAACTTAATATACTTACAGTTTATTTTCTTCATCTGTAATAGTGCAGAAAAGATAACAATGACCTTTTTAAATCATCTGTAACTCAGACTGAATTTTCTTCCCATTATGTAAAAATTTTCCTTTGCTTTAAGAATAAACCTGATGATTATCAGGGGAACTCCATTTGCTGAGCCAGATTTGTAAGGGCTTTAGAATGAAGTTGGCTGCAGCCAGAAAGGTTACTGCCTCTCTGTAACAGTGAAGGATACTAGGAGGTAAATCAAGTGTTGCTGTTTAGTCTTTCCTCTAGTAGGAGAACAAGGGGATACTTGGTAAACTTGAAGGCAATACATATGAAGCTGATAAAAAGCATTACCATTTTGATGCAAGCATATAATTAGCCTATAGAGCTCACTGCCTTGGGGTAGTGAGGCAAACAGCTTAGTGAAATTTCAAAAAGGTTTAGACTTTTACGTGACTAGTAGGGCAATGCACAGTTGAATGGGATTAAAACTTTAGGCAAGCAGCCAGATAAGCTTGGGAAAAAAACAGGTAAATTTTTTTCAGTGATTGTGCATTGTAAAAACTTTTGTACCTTCTTCAGATGTACCTTGCACTGATAACGGCCAGAGATAGCTTCATGGACTAGGTGTATTATACTCCAGTCTGTTTTCACAGTTGTTATGAACACATAATATTAATGCCTTGTTTTCTTTATCTGCTAGAAACAGTGCAGTGAGCGTGCATGATCCCTTTTCTGATGTAAGCGATTCAGCGTTCCCAAAACGAAACTCCATGACGCCAAATGCACCATACCAGCAGGGAATAAACATGCCAGATATGATGGCAAGGATGCCGTATGAGCCGAATAAAGATCCATTCGGTGGAATGAGAAAAGGTATTTTCTTTGTAGGAGCTTCTGTATATTCTTCCCAACTTTCACCTCTGCAATCAGGATATCCTTGTCCCTTACTAGGGATCTTTGCATATGTGGCTAATTTTGCCATTTGGTAAGATGGTATCCTTGTAGCAAAAACAGAGGTGCAGTGCAGCTATGTTTCATTCTTCTCTGGTCTTCTCTGGTCATTTTTTTTCCCCATCGGAGTCATATTATGTACCTAGCTGAATTCTAAAATTGCTTATAGGGATACATTTCAGCAACAACCTTGCCATAAATTCATTGGGTTAGATTTTTTTCAATATGCTTCTTGAATGTGGTTACCTACTTTGCAAACCAGGTGCCACTTCTCAGGGTTGAAGTATAAAGCTATGAAACAACATCCCTGGTTGTAATAAGGCTGAGCTGGAAATTCACTGAGCAGAACTGAGCAAGTCTCCTAACCCTCTTTGTCTGAGTTTACATATCCTTCAGAATAGGAAGGCTATTTTTTTTTTTCTTGCTTTGACAGCCCTTGACAAAAGGTGATAAACACACTAAGTTGTATTTCTTTTAGAAAGCAAAAATAAAATTAAGGCAAAAGCTGACTGTCCTTTTGGGCACTTCACCTACAGATGTGTTTGTGGATATTGTAAAATGTGCTTAAAATGAATTGTGCTAGCATACCTTTTATATAGGAAGGTGGAAGGAAAGAACGCAAGCAGGGCTCACAGTTCCTGCAGAGAGAACAGCAGCTGGAGGAGATGAAATTAAGCAAAAGGGAGGAATGAGGAGAAGAGGGCCAGAAATTATGAAATATGTGATAAAGTGAGGAGATAGTTTGAAAGAGGCAGTTAAGGTGATGTGATTTAAAAAAAAAAAAAAAAAACCACTTTTCATTTAAATCCAAATTTTGCCTGGACTGTGGACACTAGTACAACACAGCTGGAGGACGGGAAAGCCCCTTCTGCTTTAAACTCGCTTTAGTTTTCACATTTCCATGAGATTAGGTAGGTTTATTGCACTTTATCATACATTTCACGTTTACTTTAAGTCAAAACAGAAATGTCTCTCTGTTCAGTATCTCCTATGAGGGACTAAGGGTTCTAGTCACTTCCTATGTGGCTGGGGATTCATTTCGTATACAGTGTTGAATGTGCCTTTTCTCGGGACCCTTAGAATATGTCCCTTCTGCTCAAGAAGCTACATTAGAATACAGTATCCTTTCCACAACCCATGTGGAGTATGTATGTATGTGTATATGGGGGCTTTATGGGGAAGAGGAGAGCTTGATTCTGACAGCTTTGTAATCCAGACCATGATGAGATTTATTTCCTTCTGTTTGTGCTTGCATTCGTGTTTAGCATTGTTTGGGGTGAAAAAGCAAGAGCAAGTTCAACTTCAGGTGTGAAGAGCATAGGGAAGAAGCTGCCTTGGTGCCTGAAGATCCCAGTTCCCTGGATGAGATTACTTTCTTCACTTGCAGCTCCTTAATATTCTCACCATTATCTTGGTAGTGGTGCTACTGCATGTGTTTTCATCACACTCCAGAGAGCTTGTCAGACACCAGCTAAATCTATTTGGCAGGGTTAGGGATCTGGACATTGTTTTAAAATATATCATTTAATAGAAGGCAGAAAGATATCTTCAAACACTCAGAATAGTATCTTTAATTTGTAGTTCTTCTTTTCCCCTACTATTGCAGTGCCTGGAAGCAGTGAGCCTTTCATGACCCCTGGACAAATGCCCAACAGCGGAATACAAGATATGTATAACCAGAGTCCATCTGGAGCAATGTCCAACATGAGCATGAGCCAGCGACAGCAGTTCTCTTATGGAAGTGGCTATGACAGGAGGTGAGTCAATCTTCAGCAAAAAGCAAAGCCCATTAGTGGAAATGATCCTCTCCCTTTCTCATTTTCCCATTGCACCTTGCAGAGAACATAGTCTACGTTTCCCACAGCAGCTTACTAAATCACTGGGAGTCAAGCCATTGGTAATGACTGAGCCTAGCTGTTCACACAAATTAATAAGGAGGGAATCATCACATCTTAGAAGTCACTTAGGCTGCAGTAGGTGTGTTTGACAGCTGCCTTTGGCTGGGGTGCCTTGCTGAGCTGTTATGGCCTAAAGTAGCACTTGAGTTGGTTGTCTTGCCATTTTTGCAGCTGAACAGTTGTTTGTTGGGCTTTTTATGAAAAATAAAATGCACAGCCTAAATATGTCTGCTTTGTGGTCTGATAGTGAATTGGCTTTGGAGAGTGGAGTCTGTTTTCTGAGCTGTAGGGACATCAGTCTTTCAGTGTGTCCATCAGGATCTTCATAATTTATCTTTCAATGAAATAAGCAAAATACATTTGGTCCCCTTTTGTTTATCCTGGGAAAGGCTTTGGAAAAATTGGTAAAATCACTGATGTCTGAGCATTGGTATAGCAGGCAGAGAGGTTTGGGAATGTTTGGATTATAGTAAGTATTCCAGTAGGTTTTGCAATTATGGCTATATTCCCACTGTTACTTTCATTAGGCCCTGTACTGTAAGCTTCACTGTTGGCTACCATCAGGAAACTAATGTGGTGCAGTGTGGTGCAGTTATAAGTGTAACTGTTCTAATAACAGTTTTCAGGCATAGTCTGAAGCAGCAGATGTGAGTAATTGTGCTGTTGAACAGGTCACATTGCTGGGGAGTAGGTGAGATTAAGGGTTGCAGTGGAAGGTGATAAGTCAGAGAATTTTTTCCTTAACTTTTTTTTTTTTTTTGGCAATTTTGGAGAATAAGTGCTTTTTATAGAATGAGGTTTCCTTTGTCATTTTTTAGGTCGGATCATGGGCTGGGTCCTGAAGGCAGTATGGGACCACCTGGTCAAAGCAACATGGTGCCTTCAAACAGTGACCCAAGCATGTACTCTCCTAATCGTTACCCTGGCCAGCAAAGGTGAACATTGATTTCTCTGTTTAATATCTGCAATAACCAGATAACAAGTGCTAGCAGCTTTTGTGAGAGCACAGAGACAGAATATGCAGCCTCTTGGTGTGTTACTTCTGTTTTGTCTGTTCTTATTTAGATTTTTACTGTTGGTTCTGTTTCTTGGGAGGAGGAGGGGTCTTTGGAGAATGGGTTGACCTTGTGCATTCATAGAATTGTAGATGTTAGAAAAGGAGCATCCATATTACCTGACTGTATTTCCCTGCCAACACTGAGCTGAACCATGCATTGTAGGCCCCAGTTCTCCAGTGTAGCATTAGAGTATGCAAATTCTGAAGCTTCTGCAACTTACTTGGATAGTAGCTATGCTATGGCTAAGAAGTTTTACATTTAGAAAGTATTCTCTTATAGTATAACATATGTTTACCTTTGCTCAGTTTTATCTTACTGCACACATCCCTCCGACAACTGTAGACAATTTCTATCAGTTATATTATTCTTTTAACTGGCATTAGATCATTTATCTCTATTCACATCATAATTATTGGAGATACTGAACAGATATTGTTTTTGCTTTGGTCAATGAAAAATGTGAGTTTCTGATACCTTTGGAGAAATCGGGTCTCATTAGTTCTTTTAACACACCAGATTCCCCAGTCCTCTGGTTGTTTCTCTGACTCTCCTTGATATATCACTTCCATAATTATGCCCAAATTGTAGATGTGTTCTCTGTACACTACTAGAGAGAAGAATTGCTTGCATACTGGTCTACAATACAGTGTTATTTATCAGTCTTAATACTTTCCAAGTATTTTCTTTCAACTGACTATCTAAAACTCATTAAGATGTGCTAAAAATACTGCAATTGCACTGTAGTGCCCCTCAGAGGTCATAAAGGGCCGCAGGTAAGTTTCCAAGAGCAACTTCAACTCTGCCTCTTATATGTGTACTTCATTATGTAGCTTTAAAAATTACATGAACCTTAGCAAAAATATAATACTGTTTTTACTCAGCGATGGTGTGTTTAAAAGTTACATATTGTAACATTATATGATATTTGTACTCAATTTATGTCATTATGGTCCAAGTAGAATGACAGCTTCACTTTACATCAGCAGTTAACTATTGATTATATTCCTCAGCAATCCAGAAAGTAGTCCTCTTGCAGACCTACTCTTAAAACAGAAGAATTATGACTTGTCACCTTTGAGCTGTAAATCAGATACTTCTTCTACTGTGGTTGGCTCCTAACTTCACTGCAGCTGCCTGTCTTTCCTCTCTGCTGACCGTACCCTGCTTCCATTCCTGACTGCTACCCTTAAATCTCTCTGCTGCACCTTCATTGCTCCTCCTTCCTTCTATCTGCTTTACCCCATTCCTTCCTCTACCAGCTCCTGCAGAGCTTACTACATTAGGCTCTGGACCGTACCACACCGTGCCTTATCTTGTTTCCACATAGTGAATATCTTCAAGGTGTAAGATCAACAGAGCAATTTCATTTTTCAGGTGGCTTGGAAATTCCAGCAGCTTTAAGTGTTGATTTGAATGCTTCATTTTAGGCATGAACCATATGGGCAGCAGTATCCAGGACAAGGACCTCCCTCAGGACAACCACCATATGGAGGACATCAACCTGGAATGTATCCACAGCAGCAGGTAGGAAAGGGGAAAACAG